ATATGTAATTATACATGCATTTGATATACTCTTTTATCAGAATTTTACCTCGGAAAATTGATATATCACATTGCTATGACGAGCAGACTCTCACAAGAAATGTTTATTACAGGCAACTCCACCTGAATCAGCTCATTCGTACTTCTGGAGTGGTTACATCGACCACCGGTATCCTTCCCCAGTTATCTGTTGTCAAGTATGACTGCAACAAGTGTTCCTATGTCCTTGGCCCATTTGTCCAGTCTCAGAATTCAGAGGTAAAGCCAGGCTCCTGTCCTGAGTGTCAGAGCAGAGGACCTTTCTCCATCAACATGGAAGAGACTGTATACCAGAACTACCAGAGAATCACCCTCCAAGAATCTCCTGGCAAGGTAAACTCAGCAGACTCAACTTTTGAAAATATTTTGCATTGTTTCTTTAAAGTGATCGATGTCTTTAGTATGTAAAGCTAACTTTTTGCACCAGAAATTAATTAAAAACACACTTTCTCCAAGGTTGCTGCTGGCCGCTTGCCACGTTCCAAAGATGTCATTCTTCTCGGTGACTTGTGTGATTCATGTAAGCCTGGAGATGAAACTGAGGTGACTGGTGTGTACACAAATAATTATGATGGCTCCCTCAACACAAACCAAGGCTTCCCTGTGTTCGCGACTGTTATTATGGCAAATCACATTGCTAAGAAGGACAATGCAAATGCTATCAAAGGTCAGTTTTCAGAATGTCTATTTGGAAATGATATAGTAAGGGTAATCTGTATGAGTACTTTACCTCAGATAATTATTGTCCTATAATGATCATTATCAGTTTCTAGCAAAAAGTGCAAATAAAAGATTTAAATTGGTAAATGAGTAAATCCCTATTTTGAATCGCGTCTGCAGCTCTCACTGATGAAGACATCAAGGCCATCGTATCCCTGAGCAAAGATGAGCGCATTGCTGAGAGGATTGTGGCCTCAATTGCTCCCTCCATCTATGGCCATGATGACATCAAGAGGGCCCTTGCACTCTCCCTCTTCGGTGGCGAGACCAAGAACCCCGGTTGGTTTAATTTTTTATTTTAAGTTGATTTATGATCGTTATTATATATACAAATGTTAATTCTTCACTGAAAGTATTTTAATGAGTGGCTTTTTATTTTGTATGCTTCATACATTTTGAATAAGTTTTTTTTTTTTTTTTTCTTTCTTTTTTCACTTTGTGTTAATATATTCATATATTTATTTATTTACTTAATTCTCTATTTATTTCAGTTTAATTGCATAGACTTATCTGAAAATAATTTTGCTTATATACAGGTCAGAAACACAAGGTCCGTGGCGACATCAATGTCCTGGTCTGTGGTGATCCTGGTACAGCCAAGTCTCAGTTCCTCAAGTACACAGAGAAGATTGCTCCTCGTGCTGTCTTCACCACAGGTACGTTTTCTTTTGGCAGACTGGAGTTGTGAGAAATATTTAAAAGTATCTTTGATATGTTTTTGATTTTTCTTTTATATTTAGAAAAATTCAAAGACAAGAGCATTGTATACTGATTGTTTATTGCATTACATTATGATGACAATTTGACCTCGTATGAGGTGAACATTTGACTAAGCTTTTACAAATTTCCATAGGCCAAGGTGCTAGCGCTGTTGGTTTGACGGCCTATGTGCAGCGTTCTCCAGTTACGCGAGAGTGGACCCTAGAGGCTGGTGCCCTTGTCTTGGCTGATAAGGGAATGTGTCTGATTGATGAGTTTGACAAGGTGTGTTATTGCAGTAATGGCAACTGCCTGTTAATTATTATTATTATTATTTGAAAAATAAAAAATAATAAAATAAAATAAATCATATTTCTCATGCATTATTTTTAACTCTCTCTCTTACCAACAGATGAATGATGCAGACAGAACAAGTATCCACGAAGCCATGGAACAGCAGAGCATTTCTATCTCCAAGGCTGGTATTGTGACATCTCTTCAGGCTCGCTGCGCTGTCCTTGCAGCTGCTAACCCTATCGGAGGCAGATATGATCCATCCATGACCTTTGCTGAAAATGTAAGGACCTCCTTTCTCATTTTCTTTCTTTTGTTTGCTTGTTATAAGTAATAGTTTTTAATATGGGTCTTTCTTTAATTTAATTTTTGGTTGTCTCTTAATTTTTTAAAGATATTTTTATTTTTTGATAAATGCAGGTTGATCTGTCAGAGCCCATTCTCTCTCGTTTTGATGTTCTCTGTGTTGTGCGAGACACTGTTGACCCTGTACAAGATGAGCACCTGGCTCGTTTTGTTGTTGGCTCTCACATCCGCCACCACCCTGGCTCCACCGACACTGATGTCGCTTCTCAAATCACGGTAGGTACTCCTTTTCTTTGTTTTGCTTTATATTTTTTTAATATTGCACAGGCCAATCTGAACTGATTAATGATTTTACAATATATATAAAAACTGGTCAGGTTGACTGCATATCATACAGGAAAATAAGTAGACATACACATGCATCTATATTTATTTATTTTTTTGTAATGGATACAAGGCTATTACTGTTGAAGAAACTACTTTAACCTCTTCTTTTATAAACCTATTGAAGCTGGGTGCATGAACTATCCACTGTAGGTTTTAATTTATGATATTTGTTTACTCATAGATGGCTTCACAAATATTTAGTTACCAAGAAGCCAATTAGAAGGCATAAAGTATTTTTTGCTAATGCTATTGATCTCGTTACTGTTCCTATTAATAAGATTACCGGAATGTCACTCAGATACTAATAGTAAAAATGAATGACAGAATCTTTCAGAAAATCAAGGAAAGGGAAAATAGGTTAAGAATAGGACTATTGATTGACTCCTTGGTAACTAACTTCTTGTGGAGTTTTTTATATGTAACGAGAAAGAAAAAGTAAAATCATAGCGGACATTTAATTTACGTACATGACTCCAGCGGCAATTGGTTAAGAAAGAAGAAAAATTGACACAGTACTATTCCATTTTCTTTCATGGACAATATATAATTCCAAAAGTGTATGCCATGCCAAAAAAAATTTACATAAGCAAAATGAATTTTTCCAGGATGGGCCAGCAGGAGGTGGATCAAACCTAGCCGGAGTGGAGAAGATCCCTCAGGACCTCCTCAAGAAATACATCATCTATGGCCGAGAGAAGGTCCGTCCCAAGCTCCACCAGATGGACCAGGACAAAGTAGCCAAGATGTACTCCGAGTTGAGAAGAGAGTCAATGGCCACAGGTACAGCTTGTTCCTTTTTCTTTCTGTTTCCTTTCTAGAGATATTAAAGTGGAAAGTCATACTAAATTTCCCTATTAGTTTGAAGTTGAAAGATAAGAAAGGGAATGTTATAAAAGCAGCAGATAACTTGTTTGTCTCTTGATATAGTTGTTCAAGGTCTTGACACAGTATCATTATGGAAAGCAGTTTGGAGACATTGAATGTTTGTGAACAGATCAGTGCTTTGGTGCCAATTTACATATATGGTAAACTTTCATGGATGCCTTGGTTGACTCCATAATGAACTGTAAATTTTTGACCTGGAATCAAGACTCACAAGCTCGTATGAATTCCACTGTGGTACTTTTGGCTACGTATAATGGAATGAAATAGATTATAAAAGGAAGACGAGAATGTTTAGTTGGAAAAGCACTAAAATATAAAGTCCAGACCTGGTAGAGGAAAAGTGCCATGAGTTTTCATGTATAGCAGCATTGCCATTCTCAGTTTCAACTTAATGTTTAGGGTGTTGGTCAGCACACACATTCTTTGTCTCTATGAGTTGACGTTGGATGGGTACAATAACATTTTGGATCAAAATAATGAAGTTGTATCCATTATTCCGCAGGAAGTATCCCCATCACAGTACGTCACATTGAGAGCATGATCAGAATGGCTGAGGCTCATGCCAGAATGCACCTTCGTGAATATGTCCATGAAGATGATGTGAACATGGCTATCCGCGTGATGCTTGAATCATTCATCGACACACAGAAGTTCTCTGTTATGAGGACCATGAAAAAGGTAGAACTAATTTCAGTTCCTAAAGTTTTATATTCAAAATGAAGATTAAAGAATTAACTTGAAATGCTAAAATGTATTTGGTTCCTAGAGAACAAGATGAAATCTGTTTTATGAATTAATGTGCACACCAAATTATAACCAACTCTTTTCTTTTTCGTTTGCAGAACTTTTCACGGTATTTGGCCTTCAAGCGAGACAACAACGAACTCTTGTTCTTCTTGTTGCGACAGCTGGTGCACGAGCAAACCACATACATGCGCTCTCGCTATGGACCCGACCATGATGTTGTTCAAGTGTCAGAGAAGGATCTCCTGGATCGGGTAAGTAATGCTTATGTGAAAGTATATTCCAGTTCTCTGGGCTGTTATTTGATTTGTTAAATATCAGTTCAATTCAGAAATGCAAAACACACAAATTTCACTAAAAAAAAACCTTGTCATTCCTCCAGGCTCGCCAGATCAACATCACCAACCTTCAGCCATTCTTTGAGAGTGACATCTTCAAAGCCAACAACTTCTCACATGACGGCAAGAGGAAGCTGATTGTCCAAGCTTTCTAACATGCCCCAAGGAATTTTTATATTATGTATATAGTGCTGAAACTGAGAATGTGTCAGATGCCCAGTGATGGTCCAAGCCAAAGGAAGTCTGAAGTCTAAAAGGAGTACAAAAGAATGTTAAAGAAAGAAAATACCATAACTAAGAGAAGATGGCTCTGAGTGACAGAAGATGAGATGAGCATTCTACATAATTTTTCAAGTGCTGTTATAAGTATTTCAAAAGTATGTTGTAGTGTTGTAAGGCTGTTGAAAGTGTTCTAGGTAGGAAACACTTGTTAAATTTTTAGTTACAAAAAGGATAATTAATTGATGATCTTCTGTGCCTTAAAAAGTGTTCTTTTTTTATTAAAAATTTATATTATTTTTCATGTTTGACTTAACCAAGTACCACAGTAACAAAATCACGCATATGAATTGAGATGCACACAACCAAAAAGATTTAAAATTTTATTTTCAAAATTATTCGTTCTCCAGATTGTCCGAGTATACATATTTTACCTTATATTTTTGTACACAATAGCAGGCAAACGGTAGATGCTGGACACACTTGTGCTGAAGTGAAATGCACTTAGTAGTAGTCTGATGATACATTTTGGAAGATTCAACAAGAATAAGTACACTATACCTATAAGTACATTATTAAATAAATAACATAATACTGGTAAATCAAATGTACAAATATCAAATACACACTTATCTGGAAGACAAATATCTAACTGAACATATTTAAAGCTACTGTAAATATACAACTTCTGGTCTTGCAATGATACCACGAAAATAACACATCTTTAGTAACATGTTAGAATTGTAAATATCTCCATCTTTTATTTATATCAAAATAACATACATATTCAAAAGCCAACAAATCTTAATCAAAATGGAACCTGAAATCCACTCGTGCAGAAATTAAAGAGAGCACCATTCAATGATAGGTGTCAATGCCCTCGTAACACGGCTGGGCTCGTCAGTCGAAAGGCTTGATAATGAGGCAGAGACAACAAAGGCATTGACAGTTCACTATAATCTTCACTACTGTATGATAAAGGCTAATGCCCTTTCACATTGTAACCAAAATATTTTATACTCTATTGCAAGTTTATTCCTAATTTGAAAACGGATAAAATTCAAACTTTTTTTTATCTTTGTTTTATTGTCTTTTGAGAAACCCAAGTTCAGATGATTTCGAAAGAGGAAACAAACCTTTTAAGAAAATAGTAAGCTTTAATGTATACTTTGGCTATGAAAAACTGTCTGCTAAAATCTGTTTTAACACAATGCATTAGCTAAAATATTGCGCTGATCAAGAATGTTTGTCAAATGCACTATACACTTTTGACTATTGTTGTCTAAAAAGATACCAAGATTCTATATAAGTTACTTGAATAAATACTTCAGCAGCTATACAATATAGGTTGAATGGCTTGTGCTAGAAACTATACTTTTTTACTAAGGCAAAACATCATTTAGGAGTTGAAAAGGTTTAAATAGATATATAAGATAAATATCATTTTAGTTAAATTCAGTTTGAAACGTCTTGTTAAATGCATTTATACGTCATAAAACCAAAAGAGGGAATCAGTGCATTTGTGCTTATTTTGAATGGGAGAAAAGAAAATCCAAAGTTTATCAGTATTGATAAGTAGATTGCCATGGTCGATGTGAGACTGATCATAGATTCCTGTGATGTCTTTTAAATTTTTTACTTATCACATTAGCCTAAATCTCTGAATATTTACAACCATTGGTCCAAATAGAATCAAATTTATCACAGTTCTTCTGAATTAAAATGCAATTTAATTGCCCTTCTTGGAATATTTATGGACAGCGTTGACAAATGCCGCAAGATGCTCTGGATCCATGTCTGGATACATGCCATGCCCAAGGTTGGCAATGTAGCGATTTCTACCAAATTTTTCTATCATCTCCTTTACAGCATTATCGATGAATTTCTGAAAGGAAATAATTTACATGTGAAAATTGAGAAATCAAGTAGATACAAAAAAACAGACAGATGGTCATAATAACCAAGGACAACAGTTCTTTATGCAAAATCAAGAGGAATTTCATGGCATGTGAAAATGTTAACACCTTCAATCTGAACGTGACCATCATGTCATGAAAAAAATTTGGCTTGAGGGGTAGGTGATGTAAACATGCTATCATAGGAAAATCTAGCTGCAGGCTATGTCACATAAACTTGCTGTCAAGAACATTTCGGCTGAATGCCAGGGCGACGAAAATACTCCCCATGAGTGCATAAACCTCTTGGACAGTGATCAGACTCACTTAGCATTTAGAAATATTTTGCATTATTCCCATTACATGCAAGGAAAACCGTCTATTACCATCTGGATAAAGCAATTCAAGTGACCAGTATGGACATTGGAAAATGGCAAAAAGTCTAAAAATGCAGAGAAAGAAAAGAAAACATTTCAAAGGGGAGGCATCTTGCTTTGTCACTACATTGGATTGTCCACGTGTGCCTGGCCTACATGGCCTACAAGCTGAGCACTTGGTTGAGTGGCCGCTCATGTAAGCCTAATTCCCATATTTTGGTCCATGTCACTACCATGAGGCAACCAGATCCAAGGGGTTAAAACATTAAATGTATGAAACTTAAATAAGGGTTCAAATACACCAAACTTTTACTTAATTGTCAACATATTTTTCCTTGCAGGAGCCTGAGCAATTCTTGTTGCACATGTAATACAGCATATTGTACAAGGCCGTTCTTGATATACCTTGGACCGAGTTAACCCCAATCATTACTGCGGTCAGCAAAAGACCACGACAGGCAACCCTATCCCTCATCCCCTGCTCATCATAATGTTGGTAAAACCTTACATGAGCAGAAACCTTGTGACCTGAGCTCTGCACTTTCTTAGCTTGCTAAACACTACATGCTAATGATGATGGTGATAATGACAACACTGAGTATGATTTTTTATCTGTAAGTGTTTTTTTTATCATAATACATAGCACTAGCTAAGAAATACCAGTAATCTGACTTACCTTATCAGCATACAAGGCACAAGGATCTAAGTTCCCTTGTAAAGTTTTATTTGGTCCGACAATCTCCCGAGCTAAAGCTGGGTCTACAGTCCAGTCAATGCCAATTACTTCATACTTCAGAGCTGCAAGGTCTTTCAGGGCAAAATGGCCACCTTTGGGGAAAACAATCTACAAAGACAAGAAAAGAATACATATTAATTAGCCGCATCTAACATTTATACAAAAATACAAATAAAAGTGAATATTTCATTCAATGTGAAAAGCTTTAAAAAGTAAATAAACTTAGGAAATAATAATAATACCAGATAAAACACAAATTAATTTCTTACCAAATATGCAGATTACTACTGAACTATTGTCCAATTCTCCCTTTCCAAGAATATTTGTGAAACAGAAAATGAAAAAAGGTACCTTAGAGTATCTTAAAGATACACATCTTAACTATGAATTGCAACAAAACTTACCATGGGGATATCCTTGAGCCCTGCCTTTGCAACCCTCTCTTTCACCTCATTGCAGATCTGCTCCAGGTACGGCAGAGAAAACTTTCTGAAGAGCTCTGGGCCCAAGTGTTCAGCATGGGATTCAAACACTTGGAGACACTGTAATCCAATAAGTAATGTCGGGCTAAAGATGTTATTTCAATACTGTGCAAAGTAAACAATTACTAACAAAAGTTAAGCTTAATCTTATACTATGCCTTTTACCGGAAACTTTCCATTTTGTATTCACAGCACCAAACTAAATCTATCTTTGAAAATAATAAAAGATATGTTATTATATTCACAATAGCTGCAGAAACAAAAAAGGAAAATAAATAAAAAAAAGAAAAAACTGTCCTTTCTCACCTGAGCACCTGCCTTCACCTGACCAACGAGATAGTTCACAGTTGCGTCTGTAATTATCTTCAAGAGTTTATGGCTCGCTTCAGGGTACTTGTACAGCCAGCCCTTGGCAAGACTCATGGTCTTCGAGCCCTTGCCCTCAATCATGTAGGCCATTATGGTCCACTGGAATAAGATGCATTATGGATATCTTATGGTTTTCTAGGAAAAGAATTGAAAGAGGATGCAGGCAAGGATAAGTAAGATTGAAAAGAAAATTTTGATAATGATAACAACCTATTATACCTCAATTGCTTTGGTTAAAAGGAACAACTTAAAAAACAACAACTATGAGGAGATCGAGGATGGTATTCATAAAAGATCTAGGTCTGCTCTTTACGATTCTGTCTATGATTCACCCCATTGCCACATCTTAAAGTTAATGCTGCTAATTATGACAAACATTTATGTCATTATAGGCCTTATTTTGATAATCTATTGTCATAACACAAAAAGTTAAATATGGCAATAAATCTTGCTTATATTATAACAGTAATGTTATATCTTAATGTGATGTGGCATCCCTACATCTATTATCATTGCATCAGTTGTACAGGTGGGTACCATTATTTGTACTATCTTATAAAATATAGTAATAAAAATGTAGGAGACGACTCAATGAATGTTTGATGATTCATCAAAAGAGGCCTTGAACCCTTTCTTATTATTTCCAAACCGGAATAATCTTCAACAGAAGAAAGCTTACATAAGGAAAAATTAAAGACAGTCTTTACAGATGTGAATAGAAAGTATTAGTAATATGTAGGAAGTATCTAAATTAACAGTTAACAATAAATCAAAAGGGGCTTCCTCCTTTTAGCTAGCATATCTGATGCAGAATTATCTTCATATTTGTGTAAATTTGCATTGCAGTTTTAAAGACAGTCCTTATACATGTGGGACACTTCCACACCTGTCCTAAAACTTTGGCTGAGTCATACACAAAAACTGCCTATTAAAGACAGCTTCATGGGCAGTCATAAAGAAACTCACCTGGGCAGTCATAAAGAAATTCACCTGGTCAAAGACAGATGAAGTTAATCACACATTATCAATGACAAACAGACTCTGGTGGCCCATTCTGATTTACTGTTAACAATCAATTGATCCATTTTATTCATATTTACAGAAATCTTCTATTCCAAAATACATATGGCACCGCGTGCATTCATGGATGATGCAATGACAATATAGCTACTGGTGACCAAATTACAGTTAAATATATAAAATGTGTAATACTACTGCCATTACCGAAACAAGAAATATTGCAGTATGTAGTTTGACATGTTTCAGCAATCAATTATCTTCAGAGTCTAAAATGCTGTAAATTTTTGTTTTATTATCAGCATTCATTTTGAGATCTGGCAACAACTCAAATTGTACATATAATTGTAAAGAACTTACATAGACCTTTCATGAATACCACACCAGATGTACTAACATTACTAACAACAATGTTTCCATATGCAACACTACCGGGGTTCTGAATCTGATATTAGCAAGGAAGTGAATTCACCTTGAAAATCATTTGTATAGGAAAATCACAGACCAACCCCCCTCCCCCCCAAAAAAAATAAATGAATTAATAAAAAGCTTACTGGTGCTCCACTAAAGCCGATGAGAGGAGCTCTCCCCTTCAGCTCTTTCCTAGTGAGGGTGAGAGCATCGAACACATACTGAAGCTTCGAGCAGACATCAGCAGGAGACCCGAGCTTGGCCAAGTCCTCTGGCTCACGTAGAGGGGCAGGGAAGACTGGGCCCTATGTGAAAGGAAAAAAAGATATGGAGATTGTATGATGTAAATCTGCAAAATATATCAGGACAAACTGACATTCAGAATTATAAAAAACAAATTTCATAGAATTATGGTTACTAGCTATTTGTTTTCTTCATGCAATATTTACAATATATATGATACAGTCAACCCATTTAGAGTGAAAATCAGCAGAGACTGCATGACCATACACTGGATAAATCACGATCTGTTATAAGAATTTCTTATTTCTCTTTTTTCAGCCAAAGGATCCTAAACAACTGGAATAGCTTATTAAGAGAAACGGTTGATGTTGAGCCAGATGTCTAACAAATTCCAATTCAGTATCAAAGTTCATGAAAGAGTGAGTTATCCATTCTACATAAATAAAGGTACTTGAAAAAAATGCAAGCAAATGATGCATTCAGAATACAGAAAAGCATTATTCTATACATCATTTGCAATGAAAAAAATACTTATTCCAATCATTACTCTTCATAAAACAAGACAAGACATGACAAAGCAAGAACCAATGAAAAGAAGAGAGGATAAATAAGAAACAACAAAATAATTCACACTCAGACTAGGCATCTCACCTCTCCAGCTCTCATCTCAACCACCATCCCAAGCGCTTGAGGAATCACCAGAATATCGGAGAATATAATAGCGGCATCCAAGGGGAACCTATCCAAGGGCTGTAGAGTCACCTTGCATGATAGGGCTGGGGTTTGGCACATGGTGAAGAAATCGCATTTTGCTCGTTCTTCCCGAAACTCTGCAAAGATCACTTACATTAGTACAGTAAAAATACTAACTGAAAAAAACAGTTAGCCATAGGCCTACCAAGATAAAAGAAGAAATTTGAAAGAATTCAATAAATCTGAAATTCCATATCCCTTTTCTGAAAATCAACTTCAATAAATCATTTAACGATTCGGTCTGTAATCATGAAAGTCAAGAAGAGAAAGAGAAATAAATTGAGAAAGATGGATAAAGATTTAGAGGAAGAAAGAGGGGGGAGAGAGGGAGAGGAGGGAGCAGAAGAGAGGAGAGAGAGAGAAGGAGAGGAGAGGAGAGGAGAGAGAGAGGAGAGGAGAGGGAAGGAGAGGAGAGGAGAGGAGAGGAGGGAGAGGGAAAGAGAGGAGGAGAGGAGAGGAGAGGAGAGAGAGAGAGAGGAGAGAGGAGAGGAGAGGAGAGGAGAGGTAAGAGAGAGAGGAGAGGAGAGGAGAGGAGAGGAGAGGTGAGAGGAGAAAGGAGAGGAGAGGTGAGAGGAGAGGAGAGGAGAGGAGAGGAGAGGAGAGAGGAGAGAGGAGAGGAGAGGAGAGAGGAGAGGAGAGGAGAGGAGAGGAGAGGAGAGGAGAGGAGAGGAGAGGAGAGGAGAGGAGAGGAGAGGAGAGGAGAGGAGAGGAGAGGAGAGGAGAGGAGAGGAGAGGAGAGGAGAGGAGAGGAGAAGAGAAGAGAAGAGAGAAGAAAAAAGAAAGAGAAGAGAAGAGGAAAGGAGAGGAAAGGAGAGGAAAGGAGAAAAGAGGAGAGAAGAGAGACAGGAGAGAGGAGAGGAGACAGGAGACATGAGAGAGGAGACAGGAGAAGGAAGGAGACAGGAGAGAGGAGAGGAGAGGAGAGAGGAGAGGAGAGGGAGAGAGGAGAGGAGAAGGAGAGAGGAGACAGGAGAGAGAGGAGAGAGAGAGAGAGGAGACGAGACGAGAGAGAGGAGAGAGAAAACACACTTACCAGGGAGGTATCGTCCAGCCTGCCTCATCGCCCATACAGGGACAACGTCGACCTCTTGCCCCCAGGCAGCTTTTAACAGCCTGTCGTTTTTCATGACTGGGAATTCATTCTGAAATGGATCAAGTGTTATAACCCTGAAAATCAAATCTCTAGAGTAAGAAATATATAAATTGGGAAAATTTCTCATATCATTCTTCATAAATTCTGGAAAGATAAACCTGAGAACCTCATTCGTAATTTATCGTCATTGTGGGAATTTATCCAAGCACAATCTTGAAAGAATAAATGTGGTAGAAGTTTGCTTACATTAGGACGAACATTGAAGGCAAAAAGAGCCCAATTTCTTCACTTGACAAAAATTAAGACTATAAGCCTTTAATCACAATTTATAATAGGTTTTAAGTGGATATGGATCAAATACAGGATACAATATCATGAGAGAAAAAAAAATCTGCTTCAAAAGCCTTTTTCATTGCCATCTTTACATAAATCAAAATTATTTGATCACCATATTCGTTTTACAGCAAATTATAATAGAGGGAGGGACAATGACAGAAAAAAAAATGTTAAAAAAGTAGAAAACTGCTCAAAAAAGAGAAAACATGAGATATGAAGAAGAAATTCGAACGAAAGTAATACAATCAAATCTTGATATCCGAAAGAACAGAACCAGCGAGAAATTTTGAAAACAAAAGAAAAAAGAATAACACAAAATTGCATATAACAATGACCAAGAAATCGAAATAACGCAAGCTGTGGTGATGTAACACGTGTTTTCTCCATATTTCGCATCTGTTCTCTCTTCTTATTCACTTATACTCACTTCCTGGGGCATGATGTTCGTTTATTTCGTTCACAAAACAGGGAAAAGGGGAAGGTAAACAGGTGAAGAGCGCTAATTCATTAATTAATCCAAATTTCAGGTAAAGAGAGATCAGCTGGCAGGCCGGTCGAGTTGCCAATGATCTTTTTTAACGATTTCAATTGCAATGATATACTGCTAATGGAATTATCTATTGCACGTGATTTATTGTGTCCATTTTTACATCTACATTATATCATATAAAATAATGACTATGCTTTTGTATTCTGGCATAAAGAAAATAAAGACTAAAGTCTATCGGGAATCTGTATTGTTGCGGCTTTGTTCGGGGTTTTGGCTGGAACTTCGACCGGTTATTTTTACATCACATGATTTGTTTCGTGCAATACATTGATATATACTGTATCAAATGTTAAAAAAGAAAAAATCTAAACATACGTAGCATTAAGGCTGATCGAAGGAAAGTTACATAACAAACTGAAAAAAAGGAAGTCACCTGAAATAGTTTTGAACATTGTCACACATGAGAATAGTAATAATCATAATAAAAAAAATCAACAATAGTTATACGTGTTCATAGAGTGTTACGGCAGCTATTCTAAAATAATGAAAATTAATATACACCAAGACCCTATACTAAAAAGTGACATTTGAATAAAATTTACGTTTTCCATAACATGCACATTTTCCCCCTTTTATACAGATTCAATAAAAAAAGTGTAAACGAAAATATTATTAGTTTTAATAATATTGATAGGTATTGCATAGAAGGCTAAAGATATCCACCAAAACCCTTGCCTATTAACCATAACATATATAAGAAAACATACGATACAAAATATAACATATAGATACATATAACAGATACAATACATACAATACACACCAGAAAATAACGAAGTAAAAAAACTACAAATATATAATTGAATACTTAAAGATATTCAATAAAATCATATCCCATTGAGCACATGCAGGAAGATCCGGAGTTCAAGCGACCAAAGTTTTGTTTACCTTTTCGGCGAGGAAAAAAACAAATAAAAATTGAAAGAAGAGGAAATAAAAAAGGGGGAAGATAGGAACGAAGGGATAGTAAAGGAGAGGAAATAAGCAGGATAGGTATTGGATGAAGTTTTTCATTATGTTTTAGCAATGATATCTTAAATATATTGTGTTTATAAGCTGATATATGTGGAATACTCTGCTGTTCTGTCAGCTGCAGGATTTACTTTTTATTTTTGAGTTTTATAATTAATGAGTGTTATTTTATTACATCATGTCTCTTTTGTTGTGTGTATTCATGTACTGTATTGTATGTCATTGATATTATGTTATCTTTTTGTAAGCATTATATCTGGAAAGCATAGACAACAGGCTTTCATTTTGGAAAAATATAGTGATCACATTTTTCAGATTTTGATGTATGGATCTGTGGTGTAATTGCTACATCCAGCATAGGGGTCCACAGCATCCTTCCCTCTTCTTACATGGGAACTAGTTAATGACTGAGTTTGACGGAAATTCCCTGAAGGATGGGATATGTTGAGTGGGAAGCGTGTCGGGAATTTTCTCGGTTTAGTTTTAGTTCCTCCAGTGAAAAGCTTTTGTACTGTGTTTTTATGAGTTTCGAATGATGCTTGGGAAATTGTTCAAGGGCTGGGGTCTGGTGTTTTGGAAGTTATTGACCTTGGTAGACTTTATGCGTTACTTTGTAGTCTCTGGGTACCACTTGATGCAGATCCTGCCTAATAGGAAATAGACCTTCCATCTAGTGATGGTGGCTTAGAACTATACCTTTATATAACACTGAAAAATATGTAATTACATATCTCTTCTCTATACTTGCAATGAGTACAAATTCATCTCTTTCAGTCTCTTGCAGTAATTTTCTATGTGCTATTAACAGTCTTTTTTTTGTAATTGTTATAACTCTTGTAGATCCTACATTATGTGCATTGTTTACTGCCGTTGGGTGTATTCAACACTGGAACCTACTAGGGACTTCCAGGTGATCAGAATTCTAGGTCCTGATTAAATAACCACCTTGGAATCTGTTTAGTTGGCTTTAACATGTTATAGATTGTGTATACTCTTTGAATGTGCCATTTTTTGTCTTCACTCTGTGGATTTTTAGCATTTGTTTCCACAATCTTTTCCAGGGTTTGCTGGGTATGACAGCTCATCATTTAAAATTGTTGCTTTTGATTTGAATGTTGTTTAGGGCCATTATAATATGCATTACAGATCAACTTGCAGGTGCTCAGTATTGAATTGAAAATTTTGGGTGAGGGTAAGATAGTCAAACTCAAAACTCAAAAAGTCAATATAAATAGATTTTGGCTCTATGTAACTTGAAAAAATGAGGGGAACATGTGGCTTATCCTCATGTCTCTAATGGATGGATAATCTGTAGTCCACTTTGTTAAACACCTGCACAAAAAACAGGTACTAGGGATTGCTCCAACATTTCTCACATTCTTCACTTTTTGTAGAATGTGTGTACAATACACCAGGAGCTGGGATGGAAGGGACATACCTTGGCTGAATCAATGATGTCCTGAGTTGAACTTCCACCTACTTCGTGTACTGGAATAATTTCTATATAATAGCGGGTAATATCAGGACCATTGGTCTGTTATTGACGGAAGACTATTTGTGCTCTCCTTGAATATAAGTGAATCCTTTTGCTATATACTTGAAGTAAGAGATCCCCTTTATCCACTGAACTCTGAATAGGATAATTGTAACTGCGTAACAAGTGCTTCTTTCTGTTCTCCAGTAGGCTTGCTGCAAATTTGTCTATGCCTTGTAATGCACTCACTCTCATATCACTGATGGCTTTGATTATACTTTGTGTAATTTTTAAAAGATATGCTTCAGATTTTCTTATCCCTTTTTATTGCTTTCTTTAAAGAAGGTTTCAGTTGACAACACCTTCTCTTCAAGTAGAAAGGTACTTTACAGACAATTACATATTGTCTCTCAAGATGATTTGTAATATCCCAAGGATTTCCTATAAATTTTCCCTGTTCTTCTTCTAGGGATCCTATCCTTGCCTTAGTATTGGGTTTTCGTGTTGCATATGTGTTGAGAAAATATGGATTTTTTTATATTGCTACTAGACTACTTCCTTTTTACTTCACACTCTCTCACTGTGGTTGGTAAGAATATTATAGATTCCTTTCAGATACCCCCATTTTTCTTGATGTGTGATTTATTTTCTTCCATTTAGTGTTGTTCATTTCTTTGTGGATTCTGGCATTTATTTGTGATTGTTCTTTGTAAGGGACATAATTATCTAAACATTCTGATTTTGTTGTTTTTCCCTTGTTTGTTTCCTCCAGTAAGGTATTGATATCATTTCACTTCACTTGTTTTGAAATGAAATTTAGATATATCAAATCTCTTCTCATGAGTTGTGGTCATTCTTTAAGAGTGTTAATTCCACTAGACGATGGTTTGAGATGATACTTTTGACAACTTTATATCTGCGTAGTAAGCTCTGATATCTAGAAAGACTAATTCTAGTATGTTTTTTAGACAAGCTGTCTTAGTAGTGACTTGCTCTAGACCTTGTTTGTCTCCTTTGCCTGGGCTTGGTCATTCTCTTTCTGCCATGTTGAGAACCAGGTCACATACATTCGTATTAGAAACTTGCAGCTGAAAGTTGTCTTAGATATATAATCTTCGATTCTTGATATTATTTTTTATTTTGTTTTCATTTTTTTCAGATAGTTAGCTTTTGATTTTCTGTTTTCTGCAAACATACATATTATAAGGATTAAGGTTTATTTGAAATATTTTGTGCAGAATAACAGATTGTAATTTAGAGAAAGAGATGGTAAGAATCATAATGTAATAAATATTGCTGATGGTGAGTGAAACACAGGCAGAAGAGGAAAAGAAACCAAAGAATATAGAAAGCAATTTACTTCTTCCTCTTTTTCTTCTTCCTCTTCTTTGGGCACTGGCTGCTGCTCTGTTGTTGTTCCTTCTTTCCTTCCTTTTCTTTCTTTTCTTCTTCATTTTCTTCCTTTCTTTCTTCCTTCCTTCTTTCTTTCTTCCTTTCTTCCTGCTTTCTTTCTTTCTATCTGTCTATCTGTTTAATTGTCCAATCCACTCTATTCATGCTTTATTCCTTCCACAGTTACAGAAGACCATGTCGGGAGCTGCCTTAGGATTGGTCCAGTATGTGGTGGTGCGGTCGGACCTCATGACAAATCTAGCCTGGCCAGTTGGAGCAGTCATTGCCCAGGCCTGCCACGCATCCACAGCTGTTGCTCATCTCTACCGGGAAGACCAAAACATGCAGCGGTACCTGGCAGACCTCGATAATATGCACAAGGTTAGTGTGTTGTTTAGATTTGAGTATGCAGAGGCTAAGGCACCTGAATTCTGAATTCAATGCCTCTATGGTGATGTGACTGATTGGGACCCAACCACTTTTAACAATCTATACAATATGTAGATTGAGTCTGTAAGTCATTGATGTGTGCCCACCTTCTTTATTGTTATCATTATTATTGTTATTATCATTATTTGGTAGGATGATTTTTGAAGTATTTTGTTAGTGAATATAAGTGTTTCATTACAGTATAATTTCCTGTATTTCTCTATTGGAAGAATGAGCATCATCTTGTAAGAGTGGGTTACTTTTCATAATGCCGTACCCATGGGTGTAATTTACTGAACTTAAATCCCGTCATGCTGGCTGTTTCAGGTTGTCTTAGGGATCGAGAGCGAGACAAAAATTCGAAATCTGTCAGAAAAGCTACAGGAGGCGGTGATCGACCACAAACTCTGGATAGAACAGCCGGAAGACACGCCAACTTGTCTCGTGACCAAGCCTTACCCTAAAGACGAAGTGAGCCGTTTTTTTAAGAAGTTGAAACTGTTTAAGATGGATAGCCCTGCCAGTTCCAGTGTAAATTCGAGTAATTAATCAAGATTAGTGATTGTTTCCTTTATTTTGTTATTATTATGATTTTTTTTCACATTATCAGTTTCTCTCATGTTCTTCTTTTCCAATTCCCTTACTCCGACTAAGTGAACCGTCTTCTTTGTTAGCGATGATTTAATGTGAAGATGGCTTGCTCGTCCTTCAAGCGCAGACTGGGTCTTTCTTCAAGATTTACCGAGAAATGCTAACGATATTTGTTGTTATATTTTGGGGCTTGTATTTTTTCAAAGGGCTGTTTTGAATTGCCGTGCACCCTGTTGAGAAAGTGTTAATTTATCTTTCCTTGTGGGTGTGTTTTTACTTTTGTTAATGTTCTTATGATTGTTCTCATCATCATGGTTATTATTAATATTATTACAAATAGGGTTAATAATATTATTTTTATTATTATTATTATTATAATGATTATTATTGTTGTTTATTATTATTGATATTGTTATTATTATTATTCACTAATACAAATACTATTATTATTACTATTATTATCACCTATTGCCTTTTTCATATACGAAATGAGAGTATTAATCTGAATTTTTTCCTTCCAAAATCTGATATGATATATATAGGTCTTTTTTATATACGAAATTAAAGCTCTATATAGAACTGTGGTTTTATGTTTTTTTCTTCATTGCTTCAATAGATAGATATTATAAATAATGAATAAAGAAGTTCAATCATATATCGTCTTTGGATGAATCCTCATTTTTTTCGGCATCTATTGTGCCAAGAATTTTTTGGAAAACTGCAAGGAATGTTTCCCCCTATCTGTGGCAGGATGGTTAGCCTGTAAAGAAGGGCAGAGTTCCAAGGTGCATATACATTTTATTATTTATTTATTTTGTGTTGATTAATTAATGTACTTTATTTTATTTTTTTTTTTTTATTTATTATTTTTTTTTGTGTGTGTGTGTGTGTGTGTGTGTGTGTGTGTGTGTGTGTGTGTGTGTGTGTGTGTGTGTGTGTGTGTGTGTGTGTGTGTGTGTGTGTGTGTGTGTGTGTGTGTGTGTGTGTGTGTGTGTGTGTGTGTATTATTGTCTACTTAAATGCAAATGTTTTTCTTTCAAAGTAATTTCAAAGTTCCGTATTTCAAATATATATAATTTGAACAGCTTCTCTTTTTCTTGCTCTTCTAAGTATGCCCAGGCACTTGAAAATGGCAAATTCTATATTTACATTCTTTTGTGGCATTTTAAGGTGTTTGATGCTGTGAATTCCCAGTCCCTAACAAAAATACTTAGTTCATATTTTGGTGTATTTATGGTATGAAGTGTTGAATATTCTTTTTGTAATACTGTGTTTTTAGTTTGAAACTTTATTAAGAGTGTGTATGATTTCTAAAAATATTGTTTTACCTATTTAGAGAATGTCATTTTTTAAAAAGTAAATTCTTATTTCTAATATTGTTATTACTGTCATTGTAATAATTATTATCCACAGCATTTAATTACTATGTTTATTTCAATGCAAATGACAGGTAAAGTACTATAAACACAAAAAGGAAAAGTAATATTTGTAAGACTGTGTATAGATGCACTCTGATCCAGGTGCAATCATAGATATTATATGAATATCTTGAAGTTCTTTCTGTATGTTGATACATCATTCTTTGTACTTGTTTGTTATATACAAATGGTGTGTAGATGTCTGCATGTAGTATTGTATCTAGCTGAGGAATATACAAATAAAGAGAGATAGAGAGAGAGAAAGATACAGAGATAGAGAGAGAGAGAGAGAGGTATGTGTGGATGGGTGGGTGCATCCATATGTAATTGTGTTCATATCTTATTAATATTTAGGGTGATTTAGTTCATTGAAAAGGATACAGTTACTAATCTCGTGCAGTACAAAGATATTTTATAAAGGATACCAGTATTACAGAAAGTATGAAATGTTATATGTGGTTCAGTTTTGGCTTGCCCTGAATAGCAATTCAAATGATATACTTTCTACCGTTATAATTTGTTGACAATTGCTTAAATTATCCAGTTACATAAATCATCCACAGCGTGGTGCCATTTCACAACAAATGTTTTCCTAAATAATGTAGTGCACACGAGTTAGGAAAAAAATATTTCATTCATGTGATTTAGGTCGCAGCTACATGTTTTTTATCATATGCTGTTTGTAGTAGTTATGGAATTAAAACTTTTTTTAATTAGAACCATTCATTAAAGATGGAAGTAGGCATACAAATAGTTCCATAAAAGATTAGGTTTTGGTTTTCTGTGTCGGAAAAAAGGTAAAATTGTTGCTGTGTAGGAAAACATACTCGAG